CCAGTGCAGGGCTACTAATATGATCAAGGGACTGGAATATAGGATCATGGACTCATAGAATGGTTGGGACTGGAAGGGACCCTAGAGATTATCTAATTCCAACCCTCTGCTGTGGTCAGGGACACCTTCCACTAGGCCGTGTTTCTCAAAGCCCCGTGCAGCGTGGCCTTAAATGCTTCATGTTGAGCTTATCAACAAACACCCCCAGATTCTTCTCCTCAGAGCTGCTTGCAATCCATTCTTCACCCAGCCAGTTCCAGTTTCCCTGGAACCTTCTCTTCTCATGGCTGAACAACCCTGGCTCCCTCAGCTTGTCTTCATAGAAGTGCTCCAGCCCTTGATCATCTTTGTGGTCCTTCTTGTGCTGGGGTCCCCAGAGCATCTCTCCTGGGACTATACAGCAGTCACAGTGCTGCAAAGTAAATACAATTCATACTCTGTGAAACCATCTTTAAGAATAAGCGTCAATTCAAAGAATGCGTAAGGTTGGAACATGTGCCTGGAGGTCATGTGGTCCAACCACCCTGCTCAAGCAGGGACACCCAGAGCAGGTTGCCCTGGACCATGTCTAGGCAACTTTTGAAGATCTCCAAGGAGGGAGACTCCACTACGCACACAGTAAAGAATTCCTTCCTGATGTTTGGAGGGAACCTCCAGTGTTTTGATTTGTGCCCCTTGTGTCTTGTCTTGACATTGAGCATCACTGAAAATAATTCATGTTTGTTCCCAGAGGAGGGCCATGAAAACATTCACAGTACTGGAGCACCTCTTCTGTGAATAAAGGGTTGGGTTTCTTCATCATGGAGAAGAGAAAGCTCCAGGGAGACCTTACTGCAGCCTTTCAATACTTAAAGGAGGCTTCTAACAAAAACTGAACAAGACTTGTTACCCAGGCCTGTAGCAACAGGACAAGGGATAAGAGTTTTAAACTGAAAGGCAGGGTAGATTTAGACTGGACATAAAGAAGAAACATTCCATTGTGAGGGTGGTGAGACTCTGGAACAGGACAGTGGGGAGTAGCCTGGAGAAGTTGTGGACACCCCGTCACTGGAAGTGTTCAGAGTCAGGTTGGATGGGCCTCTGGGCCTCCTGATCTAATGGAAGATATTCCTGTCTGTGGCAGGAGTTTTGACTTAAGTGATCCTTAAAGGTCCCATCCAACACAAATCACTCTACAATTCAAGCTGGTAGTTAGGAGCTGGCTTAAGTTCATTTATTTTTTCCATTAAAAAGGTATGATCGCTTAAGTCAATTCATCTGAGATACAATAGGGTTTCGCATATATAAATTACTCTTCTCTATAAACAGTTGCCATGTTTGGAAATGTAAGGACATGTTTGGAAATGTATCATCTGGAAATTACTTGTATTTATGTTACATTTCCAATTTAATAGGAACAACCTGAACCACATTCCAGAATTTCTTAATTTATATGTGGAGCTCATGATGTGTCAAGTTAACTGTGAATCAACATACCACATGATGTACCTTTGCATGGCAAAAGTTTTGCTGTAGACTAGAGTGCATGTCCTGTTAAATGAGAAGCTTAAGTTAATGTTCTTTGCCTTTGCAAACGGCAGTGTCTATGCATATAGTTAGCAAATTACTGTAAATTAGTTGAGCTATGTTAAGCTTAAATTTGTTTTAGCTCTGTGTAAACTGTTTGTCAGCTGGAGAAATGTTAGAGGTCTGAAGTAATTTGTGTTTGAATTTAGTATATTATGTGTTCCCAGAATGATTGACATATCTAGCAAGTACAGAAAATACAGGAGACCTATATTGGAAATAGTAACAGCCTTCTCTCCTGATTTCTTTTTTTTTTTTTTTTTTTTTTTAAATTCCTGTAGGAAGCGACTCATAGCCACTGTATTGGCGGGTTCCAGCCATAGTGCCTCTGTATGTGGGGAGCAAACACGTTGTTTTGTCCTACCCAGTGTGCTGCTGTGATTCTGTGAGAGCTGCCTGTGGAGGACCTCTAGGGATGCATGGGGGGGCTAAGCTTGCACAGCTGGAGTTACCACACTCCAGCTCATGCAGGTGGCATCACTGTACTCGCAGGTGGCATCACCGTACTCGGTGCTCTGCTCCTGCTGACCACTGACAGCTCTGCTCCTGTCACACAGCAAAGGTAAAGCAGTGGTAACTGCTTGCGTGTAACTCTGTAATGTTATCTGCATTTACAGTCACTATTTCACAAAGGCAATAAATACCAAACTCCTAAACACAGTGCAATTATTGTGTGTTAGTGTGTTTAGCTTGTCCTGGCCATAGTCATGACATCAACAATAATAAAAACTTTCAGAAAGTCAGGAGACATCTGAAAACAGTAGCTTGAAAGAGTGCAGAGGACTTGAAAAAAGCCTTAGTTTTCTCTGTCAAAATAGGTAGTACTTGCTGATCACAGTACAATATTTATTCTGTGTCTGTAGCAGACCTAGTGACTGAGTAAAGTGCTTTGAGGTGTCATCGTTGAGTCATTAGTACAAGTACCTAAATACATGAATAGTTAAGGAGTATGTTAAAATGTGGGCATTTAAACCACATATTTTCAACATGGTTTTGGAGTTAATGTTCCCTGATGGGAGCAGGAAATTTAACTGGCATTGCCTGTAGAACCTAATACTTTAAAAGTTTTAGAAAAGATGCTTGATAGCTTATCCATGGCTTAAGTAGGTTGTTGTTTTATGAGTGACTGTCAGCTTTAAATAATAATTGGGGATGAATTCACAACTTAAATTTTTAGTTTTCAAGGAAACGATCTTCTTAAGCTATTAAATAAATGTAAGTCCAGGAATAGAACTGACTTTTGTACAAGGAAGTGCACAGACTGATGATGCTATCAGCAAAACAGTAGTATTACAGTAGTTAATGCTTTGACCTTCTCGAATACTAATGGATAGTAGTGAGCTGCTGTTTTGCTGTGGAAAAGCAAATGTCCAGCTTGTGTTCTGTATCCTTGTGTGTCTAGTGGTTCAGTCACCTGTATCACTTAGGTGCAGGCTTACAGAATGGATTATATTCTGCAGGTCTCCTTTGATGGGTTAAGAAGTATAGTAAAACA